CAATTGTGGTCTTTTTTTCTTCTAAATATCCTCTGTTCCTTCTGTCAAAGTGCATTTAGGCTGAATCAATTACTTTAGAACCACGCTTTGACGGAATAAATTCTTCTTATTATCTCCTTTTCTATTATTAGTCTTACTTTAACATAGTAAACGTTAGGCCTATGTTAATTGTTAGGCCTACCACTTCTACGGTAGTTAACTTAACGCCAAACGTTTCCTTGTCATGTAACTACTCTTTTTTTGCTATTATCTGTCTGCTTTTAACTCTTATTATAACAAAAACTAAACAATGATAAAATATTCACTCACAAAGATAAATTAATCAATAATATCTAAACTAAACAGTCTTTTATATCATGACAGAGCAAATAACTGGTAAGTCCTCATTGCTGCAGAAATGAAAATACGTATTTGGCAAGAGAAGAAGTGAATGTTAACTTGTAACTCTTACAAGGTCATCGTAAGTTTCAGCATAACTAATATCTTTAGCCTTCAATATAACTGAATTTTGTTAATTCACAAATACATTTTGCCTACTGTATGACTTATAATGTTAACTTTTAGGGCCAAAACATTTTATCTACAACTGAAGAAGATCTGCAACAAGGAATCAATTAACATAAGTGTCAAACTAACCTTAGCATAAGTTTAGTTTCAAAACTAACCTTAACATCATCTTGTTCTTTATGACTTAAATTTACCATTTGATCAGATTTTGCAAAATACAGAGATAAGAACGATCTTTCTCTGTACAGAAAAAAAAAGAAACAAACTTTTAAACAATTTTCAACCTTTCGGTTATATATCTTTGTCATGAGGAAGAACACTACTTGTTCTTATCTCTCCCAAATATTTTCAAATACGTTCGACCAGCATCGAGTTTTTAAACAAGAAAAAGCATAAAGGTTTCCACATCTGTGTAACATTAAGATCAGCTTATTGTGTTTAAACATCTGGGTAACGATCAACAAAATAACTAAGATTTCCTTCTGAGTGGCATTCATGGCTAATCAAAAAGTCATCTTGACGTATAAGTAAACCTACGAATCAATATTTGTCAATTACCCAGGTTTGGCAACATAAATGAACATACGCGTTAGATTCCAACAATATATGATGACGATTTGTAAACTAAAACACTTAAATGAAAATAAAATAGGTCACTTATCAGTAAACCTTTTTATAAGTCACTAAAGTTATCATCTACATTCCCAGCCACGACATTTTTAAATTTGCGTTTGTGAAAGCACAAAAGTTCAAGTATAACCTCTATAGATTATATATATATATATAGAGAAAGAGAGAGAGAAATAATTTTCCTGCTAATTGTCTGATGATTTTACTCACTTGGTAATAACTCCAGTAGAGAAAGAGTAAAACAAAACTATAACTCACTTTTCTGTATATAATGCAGTTTCTTCCACACGTCAAATTGATTGGTTATAAGAGCACCCATCATCACGTCAGAGTGTCCTGTTCAAAAAAATACAATTCCATTCTAATACTTTAAAGTTAACTTATAATAAAAATGTAATTTACTAAATAAAGGGAATTCGCTTTAATAGAATAACTAAGTAATATACTTGAAAGATTTTAACGAATCTCCTTCACTTATTGGAACGGATTTGGAGGTGACATTTCAATCTGCTACCACACGTTTCGACCAGGTGGATGTAATCTATTAAAAACTTTCAAATGAACTACAAACTTCTACCTAAAAATTATTTTAAACAGTTGAAAATTAAATTCGTGTACAGAGAAGTATATTAATGGCTGATAAAGTCACGAATACAGTATAGAATCCATCAAACTAAATTATGTCACTTGCTACATGAATTCCATTACTTATTGACTTAATTTTTGATCTTAAAACATCGAATGTTTAAACGTACAAACTTATCACATCACAAGCCATGTATATTACGTCCATACTTACCGTTCATATATTTAGACAAAGACTGCATCGAAATGTCTGCACCACAGTCTAAAGGTCTCTAGCAAGAAGAAACAATGTTACACAGTATAAAATTTATATATTAGCAAGCTGTTAGTTACAAGTGTCTAATATCAAACACAGTCAAACAAAAATTTTATTAAATGTCTGCACCACAGTCTAAAGGTCTCTAGAAAGAAGAAACAATGTTACACAGTATAAAATGTATATATTAGCAAGCTGTTAGTTACAAGTGTCTAATATCAAACACAGTTAAACAAAAATTTTATTAAATGTCTGCACCACAGTCTAAAGGTCTCTAGAAAGAAGAAACAATGTTACACAGTATAAAATTTAT